CAAGGGCCCGATTTGCCCCAATCCCCAAAAGCCGGCAAGGTTGGGGGATCGAGACTCTGCCATTGACGTGGAATACAAACAGTTTCTGCACATTGGCGGATCCAGTAAGCTGGTGCATCCACTACTGGATGTGTGCTTTGCTGCAGGTGCTGCCATGATGTGTTCCCGCTACATACTTCCTGGGTAAGCGGAATCACTCAAGTTAGAGGTGTAATAGATGTGCTGATGAGCACTGTGCGTGCCATCCTTCGGCATTTGAAACGAACAATCCACGAGATGTCTGGCTGGTGATTGGATACCTCCATTTTGCTCGTTTGCTCGTTGGCGAGTGGGTGAATGGTCATCCCCCGCTCGCTTGCGATCCGCCCTCTAAACCCAGCCAAATGTTCGATGGCTGCAGTTTCACCCCTGCGCCCACCTCACAATGTCCGAGGTCGGGGGCTCCCCGTCCAAGTCCTCCTCCTAGCGCAAATGACAATACGCGAGTGCCCAAATCCACAAGTGACCCATTGACTTTTGGCTCTAACATTGGCCATTGAGGTTTATGCACAGGCTTTCCTATAAACCAAACAAAAAGAGGTAGAAACCCCCAAAATGGCCCAATAGGGTTTTGGGCGCTCATCTCAAAATGATGCGCCATCCCTCTTGGACCACCGCGACGAGCATGGTTTGGCTACAAGCTTTGGAGTAGAGCCGGCGGACCCCCCCGGTCACAATACTTGAGGTTAGTGCTACATGCGCAACTCTGAAAAGATGAGCCGCAAAAGCCTGGGAATTCAACAAACCCCTGGAACTTCCCGACAGTCATTTGCACAAAGGCGTCTGGAATCCTAAAAAGCATCAAAATTCCTTGCCCGCCCTGATTGGAGAAACAGCCAGTCGTGGTGAACTCATTTGTGCGGCTGTCTAAACTCCTTGTATCCCCAAGTGGACACAGCCAATTTGGGACGCCCCCATCGCTTCCTGCGTGTTTTTGCGTTTTGGTTTTTCAGGGCATCGCTCTTACATATTGTTGCTATTGAATAACTGTTCCACATAGTCAAATCAAAAGGCTTCCAAACATAATAGTTTGTTTTCGTTAATTCCAAGCCAACCTGCGCTACTAAACTTGGTTGTTTCCTGTTGGGGTGCTTCCACGTATACGATCAGCCTGCGCATCAATGCTGCAGGGTGTTGCAATATGCTGTTTCAGTGTGCTGCCGCAGGCCGAGACTTAAGTGCTGTTGCAATGCTGTTGCATGGTGCTGCTGCAGGGTGTTGTTGAGTATGCTGCCGCAAGGTGCTGTTGCACGGTGCTGCTGCTGGCCGAGACGCAGAGTTGCGCAGGGGTGCCATTCCAAGGAGCTGCTGCATGGTTCTACTGCAGGGTCGTAAACCAAAGCGCAGGGCTTGCTAACAAAGGCAAGTGTTGTTCAGGACCCAAATGGGCAGCTGGGCAACTTGAAGACCTTTAGGCATCGCTTCGGGCATCGTTTGGGCATCGCTTCAGCGCATCTTCTTGTTGTTATGATGGTGGTCTAGCTTCAAGCACAGCCATACACCACCTAGCACATCTAGCAAACAACAGCTGTCAAGTGTTGATATGGGTTTCTCGTTTTGTGAGGGACTTGCAAGCATGGATGGTTTTCTGCTTGGTTTTCCTCTGTCCGCGATCAAGTAGCGAAAACAATATTCACTCTGTGGTTGTTGATACAGGAGCAGCGCATCGCTTTTGGGACGCCCCCATCCCTTCCCGCAGCTTTCTTCACTGTTGAAAAAACCAATGTCCGCCGAATACATACTCTAGATAACACGAGTTTTCACGGTTGCTCATTTGTTGTTCGTGATCTTCTGACATCAAACGCAGCTGCAACAAACAAAAAGTTCTTGAAGAAAGGCAGAGCATGAAGCAAAGCAGAGTCACTGTCCGTCAGGACCTCAGCTGAAGCGTCAGCCCCCTGGATTAACATCTGGGTGGCCCAATTCCTCCGACTGGCAACAAACAACTCATTTGGGCCATTTGCGTGTGTTTCAAGATTGGGAGACCCCCAAATTGTATCAACATTCTAAATGGTTGGTTTCTGCTTGGTGTCCCTTTCAAACAAGTTAAGAGGGCGGGGTCCGGGACCCCCCCCAAAAAATGACTTGCTGATATGGGCCTGTCTCAAAATCGGGAACCCCTTGGAGTGGTTCCCCCCAAAAAAACCGACAGACGCCCCACTTCGCGGTACTTTGGCCAGGCCTCCTCAAGCTCGTCGAGGAGATCCTCCTTTCCACGACAGTCCCACGGCAATGCGTCGTTCCAGTCCTGGCCAGAAAGAGTAGCACCACACAACACGAATAATTTGATTTGATGGTCAGTGATTGGTGGCTTGCTTCATTTGGGTCTATCATGTCATATGTTCATGGCCATCAGGTCAAAATATATAACTCCTTTGGAGGCTATCATGGCATGATGATTCAACTTCTCATTCGAGAGTCGGCAAGAGAGCCCAGAGATCCAACCAGTCGAGCCGTCTGTTTACTTAGAGTCCCTAAAGGCCGTTACATTGGCTCTCAAAATCTTTCAGGGGTTGCTGACCATCCCTACCAACCCCCCAACAGCCAGGCACGGATGCCAAACGTGATACATGCGAAGCTGCGCAGGTTCTGGAGAAGAAACTGCACTCCTTGATGCAAATATATCCTTCCTGACTCTTAGTAACTCATGGGAAGATCAGAACCACACGCGTCCAGCAGGCCCATCTGCAAAGGCTGCCAAAACACATGCCCACCGATTCGCCGATTGAGACCGCCCCTTGGAGACCATCCAACGCCCCCATGTTGCTCCCCAAACCTTCATGTTTTTTGGCAAGGAAAGCCGAGGATAGCGTGTCAAAAGCAGCCATGGCAACACACGCGACACAAACAAATCCAGCACGAAGCAAAACAACGTCCAGACCAGGGAAGGTAAGACACACCCCATACAAATAGGAAAGCATCAATCAAGCACACGCGCTAAGAAAAGATAATCAAAGCGTGAACAACACGATGGGCGTAACATGAACGCACACCGCAGCATACAGGGAAGCCAACTAGCTACGCACTGTCATACAACGCCATACGCATACAAAGACACAAGCAGCCAACGATGCAAAACCATACCAGCAAACAAACAAACAATCAAACAAACAACCAACCAGACAAACAACCCACCAGACAAACAACCCACCAGACAAACAAACAACAAAAGAAAGAAAGAAAGAAAGAAAGAAAGAAAGAAAGAAAGAAAGAAAGAAAGAAATAAAGAAAGAAAGAAAGAAGGAAAGAAAGAAAGAAAGAAAGAAAGAAAGAAAGAAAGAAAGAAAGAAAGAAAGAAAGAAAGAGGCAAGCAGGCAAGCAGGCAAGCAGGCAAGCAGGCAAGCAAGCAGGCGAGCAGGCGAGCAGGCGAGCAGGCGAGCAGGCGAGCAAGCAAGCCAGCAAGCAAGCAAGCAAGCAAACATACAAACAAAATAAACCGGCAGGCAAACACACAAACAGAAATACAAAATACAGAAACCCAAACACAAACAAACAAACAAACAAACAAACAAACAAACAAACAAACAAACAAACAAACAAACAAACAAACAAACAAAACAACAAACAAACAAAACAACAAACAAACAAACAAACAAACAAACAAACAAACAAACAAACAAACACACACGCACACAAACAAACATACAAACAAGCAAACAAGCAAACAAACAAACAAACAAACAAACAGACAAACAAACAAACAGACAACAAACAAACAAACTAACTAACACAGACCAACCACCCAACCACCCAACCAACCAACCAACCAACCAACCAACAAACAAACAAACAAACACACAGACACACAGGCAGACAGACAGACACGCGAACAAACAAACAAACAAACAAACAAACAAACAAACAAACAAACAAACAAACAAACAAACAAACAAACAAACAAACAAACAAACACACAAACACACAAGCAGACAGACAGACAAACAGACAGACAGACACAGACTCACAGACAGACAGCCAGCCAGCCAGGCAGGCGGGCAGGCAGACAAACAGACAAACAGACAAACAGACAGACAGACAAACAGACAGACAGCCAGCCAGGCAGGCAGGCAGACAGACAAACAGACAGACAAACAGACAGGCAGACAGACTGACAGACAGACAGACAGACAAACAGACAGCCACACGGGCAAACAAACACGAACAACGGCAACACCAACGACAACGACATCAGCAACAGCAACAGCAGCAGCAACAGCAACATAAACAACAGCAGCAGCAGCAGCAAACCACAACAATGACAATTACAGCAGCAGCAGCAGCAGCAGGAGCAGGAGAAACAACAGCAACAACAACGCATCCAACACAGCCACGACAGACCTGCAAACACACAACACCGCTGTGACATAGATGACATACAAAGCCAACAAAAAGAAATGCGCCGGGCGCAACTCGATGTGGGAAGATCGTCCTCTTCCAGGTCCAGTTCTGGATCTGCTCGAAGATCTTGGATGGGGCCTAGTTCAAGCGAAATACCCAGACCTGCAGATCTGGAACCCAAAAAGTCTGGCCAGCTTCTCTGATTCCACGTCAAGGTGCTGGAGAGTCTTTGCAACGGTAATTAAGTAGGGGAGAGCGCCGACAACCAGCCCGGTTGCAATGGCCAAACCAAGCATATGGCTGCCTTCCGGATCCAGGGGCACTTCTACAAGTTTGACGCGGAGTTCTGGGAGAAAACCTGGTTCCTAGTGAAACGAACGGATCACCTGTGAGAAAGACTTCAGAGCAAGCAAACGCAAACTCCGGATCTGCTATGCCCAGTTTGGCAATCAAACCTCGCAAGTGCACCTGTGGGATGAAAAAAAAACGCGCCACGCTTTCCCTATGCTCGTTTTGACTCCTTTGGTGTTGGAGCAAAGGGCTCCATATTGCGAGAGCTCGCAGCATCCACAAGTCATACGGAGTCGCTGAGCCGGGCTTAACTCCAAGTCTTGGTTCATGGC